GACCGTTTCATTGGCTTATCCCTGACACCATTCAAAACACGAGTTAAATAACAACTCGTTCAGATCCAAGTGTAGTAAAGACAAGTAAAACGAAATTTTGAACTATAAAAACGAAACGAAATAGGATCCGTGTTTTAACTAGATTGAGCAAAACAGGTAGAACTAAGTTTATAATTTGTTATGGCAAAACCACCAGAATCCTATAACAATGCTTATCACGAAAACAGTACCAACGACCAACAGCAGCACCACTTAATACAAACAATAACAAACTTATATCAAAACAAAACAGGAAATAATAACATTAACTGCTGCAGTCTTCACCAATATATCACTCATTATGACAAAAACATCACAACATGCAATAAATCCTTTAATTACCCGCAACTCTGTATAATTACATAAGGATTGAATAGCCTATATATTATATAGATATAATTAGTTGAATTAATTCTACTCGACTTTGGTGATTTGCAATTAGCATTATTTTCTTGGTTGGTTTCAAACAGTTAATTGTTTTAATCATAGAACAAGTTGGATATTAATAGATCATTATAATTTGCACTAATAACCTTTGATCCTAACTTTTGTAAATCAAGCCAGATCAATTTGACCTTTGCACATTTTAGTAATATTAATACTGAAATTTTGTTAAATGTTGCAAAGAATGATTCATTGAAATGAAAAGCGTAATTTAAAGCCCATTCAAGCAACCATGTCAACTTAGTATAACCAAATATATAATTTAAATATATTTGTCGATGTGATTTTGTAAATCGAACGTTTAGAGATATCCAAATGTTTCAAAGAAAAATTCGCTGAAATGAAAAAGGTAACTTGAAGTCAAATGATGCAAGGATGACAATTTAGCATTGCCAAATTTATGATTGAAATATATTTGTCGATCAGATTTTGCAAATCGAGATATCCAGAACGAAGCTGACCTTCAACACTGACTGACCTCTGAAGGAGGGTTACTATAATGATACAGTGTGTGTTGTATGATAATGGATAACAATTCATTAGAACAGACCCGGGTGAAAATTCCGGTCCCCTGACGAATAGCAATAATAATACCATTTGGTTAGATTATAGAGTAGGACAGCTTGTTTTATGAAGGAGTGTATAGATGAAAGCATCGTCAGAGCGATGATGACCTTTCTAAAATTTCTGAAGTAAGAGACAAATAGACTGATGAGGGTGATAACTAAATGTGAAATAATGTAACACAAATTTGCATTGATGAATAAGGCTTTTCATCCATGCATATGAAAATTCACGCATACAACAATATGCTACATTTATATTTCATAAACAACAAACCAGAAAACTATTAAAAATGAAGAATTTAAAATTCATGTTTATATCCTATATTTTATAAAATGAAAACTTTTCAAATCTTGTTAGAATCTTTTCATGTAATATTGATGTTGTCACACATGTCAGATTCTATTACAAGCACCCACGAGCCCTCAAGAACGTTTGTTTAATATCATTATATTCTATTAAAGACATCAAACATGGCTTCGTTTAATCCTAACTAAGAAGAAAGACAAAATTTGAACAAGCGTTTAATATGAAGTATTGTGACACATGTCGTGAAAATGCGATTTTTCCTTCGGGCTGCTTCAGGGCCAGGGTTGAATAAAAACCTTTCGCTGGAGACCAACTCTCAATTACAAGCTTGGGGACTTAACAAACATGTATCAACGAGCAATTGTGTGTCGGCACACTTAGTTCTCGGTTATATTATGTTCAGGCTAGATATAGAAGAGTGAAACTAAGTAAATATTATATCGAGTATCGAGCCTGGCGAATGGTACTATAAAATTCTCAACGAATAGTTTGGTTGGTTGTCTATACTTGACATGGTATTGAAACATCGCCTCATAAAATACAAGTAACGAGAAGACACCGGTGAAAATTATTTGTTTTCATCAGGTCGTCAGAATGAAGGAAAATCAAATAGACAGAATGAAATGAAGAGAGCAAGCGATGAAGTAGTCGTTGAAGTAGGCCTAATTAACAGACCCTCGTATTAGACGCACGCATTTATTTACATATCCCTACTCGTAGAATTATCAACTGGTCTCTCTTATGGAATCTTTTGTGCGAAAAATGATATTAAAACATGCCCGAAAAAATTAGCAACTGACAACCAATCACGAGTCAAATATTTCTATTTGTTAATGTGTTTTATGGGCTCTCTTTATATCATGAAACAACCATTTAACCCTTCAAGTTCCACAGTATAAGACACAGTACTGGAGTACAGATGATGTTTGATGACACACATTAACATCTGATATCAAATATAGAAACTAACTTCTAGTTGGAACATAATAAACCTAGTAATTATATACATGTGCAGATTCAAATTCTGATATTTATCATCGTCATTCTTCTGTACTAAATTCTTGATGGAATAGGAATATATTTGTCTCTTCTCTACATAGTTTTAATAGTACTCTGAAAACATTCCCTGAAAATCCCAAACTTCGACTAAGAATATGTCCAGGCCTAGTTTTCTTTGACACCATAAACAAGAAATAAACCTCAGTAGCATCTGAAGATGCAGACGCAGCAAAGCCTTTAGCAACTTCCGGTCAAGCATTCAGCTAAAAACTGTTGGGGTGTTGACGAATATATTTCTGCTGATTTTAGAAAGGTCAGATGAATATATTTATCGAAAGTTCCTACCATAAACTGTGTTAAATATAGGATAATTTATCAATTGAAACAATTGTATTTTATTTACATTCAATATTTATACAGTAATCGTATCAAATATGATGATTATAGTACATGATTATACTCTACTTATTTGTCTTGTCCACTTATTGTCATTATTTAAGAATTCTTTATAGGGTTTTTGGTAGTCACGATGCCGATAACCTTGAATAACCACGAACATTACTAATAATGAAGAACTTGAATTTGTGGAAATATCACACTGAAAAGCCATTAAAGGGTCATCTAAAGGAGGTAAGTGATGTTTACATCATAATTATTCATTTCACAACGATCTGATTTTTTTTTTAAATTGCTATCTCCGCATTTAATCTAAAAATTTCCCATCGCCACGTTTTGGTATAAATGAAGTGTTTAGTGGTCAGCATTTTTACATCTGTTAGTACCTTATTGTGAATTACTCCAACTAAAGCTTTACACGTTGATTGACCCCCATTGTCCTCTGGTTGTTCCTTTCAGACAAGCGTCTTACTGTAATTCTTGATATTAAACACGTTTCAGGTAGTATTTATGTCTTCAAAATTGAATAATATGTTGAAAGGAAATCAGGAAAATGGATCGTTTATTGTGCAGGCAAATTTATAAATATATGATCGTACCGATAAACATAGATATTGCCAATTTCGTATAGCTGAGTCTGCCGATCATCCTTTCCAGTATGAATAAACTTTTTATGTAGTTCAAGTACTGACGCGGCATTAAATAGCCTTTTATTTCATGATCTATCCTACTTAGTACACATTAGGCTTTATTTCAATTCACATCTACTTAATAGTCATTCATCTCTTTCTCTCTATATATACGTATATACCACCTCCATAACCCTACCATCCAATTATCGACTTAGTTTAAATGTTAATGTCAATAGTTTAATGTTTATTGCACTTATTTTATTTTATCTATAAAAGTTTACGATGAAATATAATGATAATAAACTCAAATTATAGCAAGATAAAATCTTATCCGATTTATATAAACAGATTTTTACTCACATTTGGTAGTTTGTACGTGTAGTTTCGGCCTTAAGAAAAAGGGAATTGGAATGTTGAAAATGTTAATTCCATATGTTTATGTTTAATATTTTTCTTTGTTGAATAAATTTCATTTCCCCTTATTGAACTTTATGCATTGTATTAAATGCATATTATCTATTCTATATATATATATATATATATATATATATATATATATATATATATATATGTATCCGGGACTAGGTATGCCCTAATAATGCATTGTATATAGATCAGACTACTTACTCAGTTCATTATGCATGCAGACCTATATAAATTGAAATGAATGTATGAATATGTAATTACCCATGATGTATTAGAAATTTACACCTTCATTCACAAATTTTATGCTAATTAGAAAAGTCTTTGTGAACGCACTTTAATATGTATATATGTACAACGTATTTGTGTGTATATTTTACTATTTCTTGTTAAAGTTCATTGATTCTGTATACATATATATATATTATATTTATTGTATATTTCATTGTATATTTGACGTATTGACAGTCAGAATATGTCGATCACACATGTAGCTCGATCGAGTCGTAGACACGTAATAGTCGATTTTAGGTTATGATGTATGAAAGGATAATAATCATATATCATTTGTTTTATGGATTGTTTTGTGTGTGGAATTGATATTTACTGGCTAGAGAAAGTAATATTGACCGACAGACTGAGCACCTTTTATGAGAAAAATTACACAATCATATTAATACGTTATTACATTCTTCACATTAACTGGTTAAAATATGTTTTATTTTTTAAGGGTGGATCTGTTACTTTTATACAATATCAATTATTCTCACGAATGTGTCTAAAAATATAGTAAATAAATTGCTAGACGTATTGATGCAGAGCAACAGTTTTTTTTTTTAAATAAAAAATACACAGTCCAGCAATTAAAGGCAATTTTTATGCGTAAAATCTGATAAGCAATGAAACGCTTTTAGCTCCGGAATTGATTTGCTGATAAATACAATTTTTACGTATGCGTATACGTATTCGGATTATATATAAAGTTATAGCACGTATCTCGATAAAAGCAATTCATTCACAAATTAAAACTAAATTTGAATCCCGTTACTTGTCGACTATTCTTAGATCCAATTTCAACTTGTCCATTTAATGTCGAGTTTAGGTGCGGCCGTTTTTGTGTGAAAAGATATAAATTAACAATGTAAGAGTTTGAGCCGGGCCTTGTTTACTTGCGCTCAATTCACTATGTAAAGGTTGAGTTAGTTGACATCTAAGAATCTTGGGTACAACCTGAATACTTGGACTGCATTGATCGAGATGGGAATAAAATATTAATACAATTGCATGTCAAATCCTGACGGCCCAGCTTCATTTCAATTGCTAATAATGTCTCTAGATTGCCCAGCAAACTTTGCATAACTACTCTGTATTCGTGTGTATTACGAGATCACTTGATAACGAAAGCTTCTACTGTTAGGGTTACTTTTCCTCGTCTGTATTGCTTTCTTACATATATTTACAAGAATACAGTAGAACTACATTGAATATAACAATACCAGTGACTTTCTTAAGGAAAAAAGCTAAAAATGGTGGCAACTGTGACAAGAGTGGTGATTTTCGATCTTTATATAGATTGAATCTGTCACAGAAGCAATAGAAGATTTGAAGACAAAAGAAGATTTGAGAAAATGGTTTTAAGCCGGACCTGGCACAAAGCTTATGACAGGAACTTTCAGGTAAGCTTGGCCATTCTTTTAAAATGTTTTTCCCACAAATGTCGAAAATGTGGAGTTTCCTCTTTCTTTTTACATCAATGACACGAAGCCGGAAATACAGTATTTTCATATTTTCTGCTTGTCAACTAAATGAAATAATTGTAAAACGCATAGTGTTTTTGTTCAATGATACCACTGAAGAATAAAGCTATATCGATTGGTATTTTGATAAACAGTCTTTTGTTCCCCTCTTTTAGGTCCCCAGACGAATTAATACGCATGTGCGAGAATATTAGCAGACGGACATTTTAGACCGTCGTTAAAGCCCCACACTGGAGACGAAAAAGGAGATAGAAATTTTGTTTATTTTATTAGTTGCAATTCATCTATTTTCCTCAAGGCTCTTTAATTATTGTTTGACATTTTTTTACCAACGCTTCTATTTTCAGAGTTTATGTAATATAAATTTACCTTCGTTGTGCCTCATATGCTTTACACATAATAAGTTATATAAGTAGATTTAAAATGCTTTATGATTAGACAGAACTATTTGATCTTTAAACATTTATGGTGATTTATATACCTGTAAATGTATATCCGTCAGTTTAAAATTAATTCTATTACATAATTTTCTACGCGACAGCTTTTATTTCATATAAACTTTTTATTTTTTAAAAAAATTCCCAACCGTAGTGGCGCTTTCAGTAACCTACAGGTACAATATATTGTTACGGTTTTGCATTTAATAATAAGCAGTGTACCTACTTATCTAATGTTTCACCGTAGAAGACCTTGCCAAGATTTTCTCGCATGTTTGTCTAGGTTTTTTTTACTATATATGAAAAGAGAAATTATGAAAATGTATCCGTTCACATATAGTATATATTTAAACACTTAACCCCGATGTAGATAATGTTCAATGGTTGAGTCAACTATTTGTGTAATGTGACGAAGGCTTAGTTTAAAACAAGCAGCTGTAGTTTTTTTTTAAAGCGATACTATCAAGGGGGCTACGTTGCTTAGGGCCAGTACGGTTTCTTGCTCTAGTTCGGGACAATGGATTCTTACGACTTCTTTTCGGGCTATTTCGCTGCTTGAACAAGAATAGGCGCTTGATCCTCGAAAACAAACTTGTTTCTTGAAGGCATAGAAAGAGTGAGTTTAGGCCTGTATGTAACATCACAATAGATCTCACAAAGTGTGACGGATAGACGAGGTGGGTTATGTGCCTCCCATAAAATGAACATCTTGCAATAAAACACCACCTAATCTCTACTTTTGATCAGGGAGGCATTTACTACGTTGATTTTTTTTATTTATCTAAGAAGAAATTTTTTAGTACATTTACAGGCTAAAATGTATCAATTTTATTTTTATTATATTCATGTTGATCATTATAATTGAAACTAAAAGGTGTTGCTGTGTCGTTAACTAGCTTGCTAAAAATTCAATCAACACTCTTGACATTGAAGAAAATCTGGAAGACGACAGAATTTAGCCAAGTTAGTTGATAAAATTGAAACCTGCTTGAAGGTGTAACTTAATAAGTTTGTGTAATATAATAGTCGGCGGTGTTACTGATCACAGGCAAATGTGTGACAGAGGTTAGTGTGTGATAATTACACACTAGTAAATTACCGCCTTTACCCTGCTGTGGATTTTTTCAGCATGTACGGCAACAACTGCCATGTAGTTCTTTGTAGCCATCGTGTAATACCGACTCCTCTATAAATCTGCAACAAATTGCGGCATTCAGTAACCCCTAATTTAGTTTTACTCTAAAAGACCGGTATACACGCTCAACCACATGTCTGTGTTTGGATGGAGATGCTGTAAATTGTTGTAGCAACTAATATGTAGGCACATGTCTTCCATGTAATTATCTTCCCTCCTATTTTTTTTTATTATATCTGCCAAGACAATTTGACATAAAGTTCCAACATAAATACCATCTTTGGGGTGCGAACTGTCGTATTCAAGTAGAGACAGAATACGATATTCATTCGCATTATATATGACATCCAACAATAGTCCAGGCTGATAGTGCTAGGTTTTTTTTTTAACATGGTGGGTGTTTTAAAGATAGATGTAATCCAATGTTGATCTATTTTAATTTATCAAGGATGCATGTCTTCTATTAACCTACAACAAGTTGTAACATATTTTATTGTAAATACTATATAAGTAATATTAGATTGATGTATGTGGTATATATTATCAATGACACTGAACAAGATAGAACTAGTGTATTGAAATGAAACCCTTTTCCCTTGACATGTTTAGATCTGTTGTTAACTATGTCCAAGGGCAAATATAAAACCTAACGGCCATAGATTAGGGAAGATTTAGTAATGACGTGTTTTTATTAGCTTTAAAGGGATATTAGAAAAGCGATCGAGTCTCGCTTTAATTGGGGAGTCGACCTATGATTATAGATATAACATATCGTTACAATTCCAAGATTTTGCTTTGACGTAACTAAAGCATGTTCTGCCCCCCCGTAATTTAAGATATGTATTATAATAACCTGAAGAGGTACTATGATATTACATGTACAGTTAAGATGATTTGAGATTTGAAATCTAATAAGTAATCACACACCGTTGTTTCATAAAGGAAGTTTGTCCTTCAGATTGCGAATTCAGTGGTTCGTTGGTACTCTTAATCTCTTCTTTCATGCTGGCAGTTTGGTCTTGTATTGATGGGTGTTTAACAGGTTTGTTAAATAGTTTTTGCTAGCAGTTTGATCTTGTATTTATGAGTGTTTACCAGGAGTGTTAAATAGTTTTTTCTGGGGTTGTTTCTCAGTATTGTTAGTTGTCTATCACTGATTCTGTTATGGCCCAAAGAGTATACATATACCTTATTGCACTCTTGCAAAATTGACGACACATGATGCGTAAAGTATATTTTATATGTAAGTCCAACTGTTCAGCTCGTATTCAAGGTAATATGTTACTACATGAACTTTCAAGAGAGTGCTTTTCAATTCTGTATGACCCCTGACTACATGATACCATCTCGACTATTGACAATTACTAACCAAATACCAGACTATATACATATATATTGCAGGTGTTGAATGGAGTGTGAAGTATGTAAAATGTCAAAGCACTGTCTTTCAGCAGCGGTCCAGAATTTATCTGCTTTTAAAAGCATTTGTCTTTAAAATATGGTAGAACAGTGCTTTAAGTTAATCATAGTGTCAATCGAATCAATAAAATCTATCCAAAGCCATTACAGAATACATATTTATCCAATTTTCATAATAATACAATTTAATAGAAAAACAAATAAATATTTTTTATGCCCGAGAATTTCTACATACAATGATAACTACGTCAGTGGAACAACTTTATGCTATGTTTTAAAGAATCTAAACCAAGGAGTTTTCCCATTGCATTAGAATCACCACATTGTTTTGGATAAAACTACAAATGGAAGACACTCTATGAGGAATTGCCGCTAAATCTAGATCATGAAAGATATAAATTTACACCAGTCCAATTGTCCTCACGGTATTGATAAATGATATCACTCCGATTAAGACCAAGAGGAAGACAGTTCCCTGGGAAAAAAATGAATGGAAAGTAACACTTTTTATCTGAAAGAGGAAAATTTGATCTGAACAAAGACCTTTGCATTTACTATTTATATAATTTTACCCTTAAGTATAGTATATGATAGTAGATTGGACCAGGCATATATATCATGTTAACATGATTCGAAGATTATATTTGTAGCTTAATCACGGCTTGAACACGCTCCTCCGAATCTTTATAAATAGATGTACGAGTCTGGAACTGGAATGAAACTGATGAGATCCAGTTTAAAACAAGGAGGAAATTGATCTATCAGATACACATCCTCGATAGTTATCCACTAATCCTTAATCAATATAGATGCCGTAATAATAGTACCCACTTAAATTATATAACACACAATAAGCAGCATAATACCCTCTTAAATATATTGTCTTAGCTATGGACATGCACAAACGTAATTGATCTGGAAATAATAACCCCGAACCTACTTGAAATTTATTTACCTAATTTACTATATTTACTAAACAGATCGCGTTTCGTGTCTTCTTCATGAAATCTGAGGAAGAAGGTCGACTTTATCTTGAAGATATTATTTTCGTTTATAATGAGGTTAACTCATCATGATATGGTAACATATTATCCCTTGTAATAATATGCATACTATTAAAAACCGATATACACCCTTGTGGACATTAAAGAGTCCGTAGCAGTTATAATTCGATTAACATTAGGCTGAAATGTCTGTGTCCGGGCAAAACTGAGCCATAGACCCGAATCCGTAGTTATAAAAGCATTTTGAAAGAAAAAGAGATGTCACTTATAATTTGAAACGAAACGGAATGCCCCCCCCCCCCGCCCCACCACACACAAACAAATAAAAAATAAATACCCGCCCCCAAGAAAAAAACAAAAACGATTTATTGTCTTGTTTGAATTCTGCGGACTGTATTTCTGACACAAAATTTTAAAGTCTCTATGACCACAATGCGTGACAGTGACAGTTTCAATGTCAGCCAGTATTACAACCGCTTGCATTCGAATCCCCGGTTGTACATGACAAGGAGTAGGGTCGCCTGTCCAACCTCCCCCTGCTAGAGACCCCTACGCGCAAGCGAATTATAGAAATAAAATTGAACCATGTGTTAGTCCCGAAATGACCTAGTTTGTGTCGAGTAGTGGAGGTTAAACCCCATCTCCCTCTCTCTCTCTCAATCGCTTGCAATATATATGTGTATGGTTTAACGTCCACTTTCATAATAATTGATACCACATAACATTAATAAAATCAGCACTAGTATTTCTTTCTTGACTATGGACGACCAGATTTGGGTTGCAATCGGAGTGCTTGGTGTAAATCCGAAATTTCGGGGAAGGAATGATAACTGACTTTAAGGCACAGAAAAAAGATGCGTTAATTCATTACCATTTCATATTTTGTTTTTATAATAAACTATAAAGTTTACCAAATATACATAT